TGAAAGTAGCAATCGTATTCGTCGTTTAAAGCACCTTTTTATGAGCATAATAGTGTATGTTTGTTTTAGGAGCGAGTGACTCTTGCAAAAAACTGAACATATTCTGCCTTTTTAAAAAGGTATATTTGTGCAAAAAGATTTTCAAGCACACATGCCAGGAAAATCTTTGAAACTGCTGCAAGTTTCCAATTTGCCTTCTTTTTATATTCACTCAGTTATGTGTGCCTCCATGCTGCAGTGCTGAAATGTTTCTTGCCCTCTACCACATGCTATTGTGACTGCTCTACCAGAACATTGAAGCCATAGTTACATTTATAGTTAATGATATTCCCCACATTCTAATTGCTTACTCACGCTGCCCTAGTCCATATGCAACTAAAACAGTGGCCACCAAGCTCGAGCATTATAATGGTTAATAATAAAAGGAACACTTTTTTGTCAAATTTGCAGCTCCCATTGCCGTCAATTCTATAACTATAGCTTTGCATTTTTCGACACCCTGTAAATAACTCTAAACCTGAGTAAACTCATGGACAGATATTTATGAAAATTATACCTATGGAAGTGATCAAGGAGGTGCTCCCTCACAAACAGAAGTGGCCACGCTCGTTTGACATCCAATGCTGAATATGGAGGCTCTGACGAATTTATGAACGTCCTGATGTGGGGGTAGCACTCAGCCATGGCCTTTGTTTGAAGGCAAACGTCTTGTTCACATGTCGACTTCAATGCCTCGTCCAATAGAAACTTTCTTGAGGCTTCCACTTCATGAAGTGAAGAACTCGTAGTAGCTGGCTGCCAGTTCACACAACCGTAAGCTGATCGAGATGTCTGCTTCTTTAGCTTGATGGTTCCACCACTGAGCTCTTCCACAAGGCGCTTGCATCCTCTTCTGTTGTTTTCTATTCTGTTCTCTATTTTGTAGGCCAGGCCTACAGAAGATACTGACGTAGCTGAGCAGGAAGTGGGGTCCCCAAGTGCCCCAGGGTACTTGTCAGCAAGGTAACTGGCAGCACTCCTTATTTCACGTGCAGAGGGTCTAGCCTTGACTTTTTGACAGGCCGCGGCAGCCATGCGCACAACTTCTTGTCGGTCAGTCGGATTAAGTTGAGTCCCCTCTTGCAATGCTTTCATGACGTCTTTGCTAAGGCTGCTCCAGGGAAACTGAACTTGTGAACCAAAAGGCACATCGACACCTTCATGTTGTGTTGATGTTACATCCCCCTGCTGACCTGAAAACGAAGAGCGAAACATCATTCCAAAAGAGGCAGACAAAGAACAGAATAGTGATAATAAAATAACAGTGCAGCACCATATTCAGTTTAAACTTAGGGGAACATTTCTTTTGGCTGTGGTATTTCAAAATACAATGCGACAGTAACTGAAGGAGGTCGACATCCAAACTTCGGGCCACCAAGATGCTCTACCACAGAGCAACGATGCAAAGCAATGGAGCTTGAGGGAGGTACACATAAAAGACATGGTACTTATGTAATCATCAAAAGTAGGAAATTGGCTTTATCATAACAACCGCCATCCCGCCTCATCCGATTGCAAAGACATACTTTTGTAAAGTATCTCCTTGCAACATCATATCAGATGGTGTTAGCTAGCTGTACAAGCTGACGAAACGTTCGAGAACAAGTTAAAAAAATGACTAGGCCAGCAAGGTTGACAAACACGTTTTAGCTCAAGCAAGTAATTTCTTTTTTCCTTTGGTCTTTTTGAAGGCCTAGAGATGATCAATCTTTGCCAGTTATTTGATACAAATGGCTTCCCTTAAAGAGCCTGCACCACCCGACTGTTTGATGTGCCCTTCAACAAGCTTGATCCACCGTTCGTATGAGCCTACTGGCATGTGGACCTGTTTTTTGTGCTTCACAACAAAAAAGTGTGCTTTGCCACGACAAGCCTTAAAGGAAAACTAAAGTGGTTCTGTATTTTCGAAAAATTAAACACTTTAATTATCTTCTTTTGGCCCCCAAGACCACGAATATTGGAATTATTTTTCAGTCTGATGCGAGGAGCAGTCGTAACAGTGCTTTGGAAATAGCGCCAAAGCCCTGTCATCTCTGAGCGTGACATCATACCCAGATTTGTCGGAACTTCTGCTCTTGCGTGCCTACAATGCCCATCAAAGCTATGCACGTGCACTCTTGATATTGTCAGAAAGGCCAGACAAAAACGTCACAACCAGTGTCACATGCAGGGTAATATACCTGGCAAGCTTGCAATTCCATGTGCTGCCCACATGAGCAAAACGCGCTTGGCGGCCGAAAAATCTGGATATGACGCAACGACCGGCCTAAGGTCTCTCGAGTTTTCTCGCATTTAGTTAATCTTCAGGATTCACGGGATAACATTATGCTGTAATCTGGCTCAAACTCAGTTTTCTTAAGAACCTCTTTACTTCCCTTTAAAGGCAGATGCACAGGGAGCACTTTCTGCATGGCTGAAATCCCTCCCGTAGTGTCCTCTCCCCTCCCTCTTGCACTCTTCTCTCCTCTTTCCCCGAAAACAGAATGTCCAAAAACTAGCCCCCACAGAGAGGAGGCAGTGTCTCTTCCTCTTTGGGGTGCAAACGAGGAAAGCGAGGGACAGCTTCCTAATCGTTTTGCATTCGTCAGCCTTTAAGAGTGTTGGCTATTCATTCCGGTAAATACAACCACTGGTGCCAGTGTCATTGCTTGTTTTGTTCTCTTCTTGTGCATCTGAGTTCTGTCAGAGAAGACCAATAAGCTAACTTTTTATGTCTTTCATGTGTTCGCTTACAAAACACGATGAGCACAGTACCTATAGGTTTTCCAATTTCTCGAAAGAGAATACCAGCTCACTTTTCTGCACAGTAGACATATTCTAGAATATTAATAAATATTGTTATTATATTGTGTAACTAAAATTCCAAGCAAAATAATCCAAGTGCATTTCTTTGTAGTTTGTGGTTACAGTCTTTGAAACTTCTAACTATGCCATCGAAGTGTTACGTTTGAAGCAAAAACTCTATACTGCACGTCTGTTGCTAATTGCCTGCATAATAAATAAAGACTAATTGGCAGAAACTTTGCTAGGGAACCTTTATCAATTAAATAAGTTCTTTTTTTCCGTTCTATGAAATTAGGTGTTTCGAAGTTATTTTTCATTTCTCATATTACGTTATAATTTGCTTCACATTTGCTTTTAACTGAAAAATTACTACTCCCCCATTCCTAAAGTAAATTCAAGCTTGGACTTGCCTGACACCCAAGAATCTGTTGTTGCAATGAAGGTGTAAGTAGCATCCTCAGATGACTGATTCAAACAATTGAAAGCTTCTTCGTCCACCTCCGTTCCATCCAGCATGTGTACCTGGAAACAGGGTATGTTATTTTGAGAATAAGAATGGCTAAGTACATAATTTCAACTGCTGAAATTATTTTACAAACCTTGATGTCTCCATTGCAGCATACACCGAACTCTATGGCCTTTTTCTTTATGGCGTCGAAAGTGGCAACCACTGCCAGTTTCTTTATTGTTTTATCAAGGCTCCAGATCTTGACTATCATCTGAAAAACAGTGAACGTACAAATGCAAAGTTTATGTTATATGCTACAAAACAATTGTAATTTAGAAAAAAAAATAAGGGTGCAAGTTAGCTGGTAAAGCATTGCTACAATTTAACAGGGTGTCTACAAAATTAGTGATCTTAAATTCCCCGACTTTTCCCAGTTTTTCCCTTGACTATTTTGATAAAATCCCGTGAGCATTTGCGGGTCAAAGGATCATATTTCAGAAACATTATTCGACATGGCTGTGCTCATGCGCAACCATCTAGCTTTGTTCCGCATTGCCATTCCACTTTTACTGATCATTTTCCCTGGTGGGGCCAACGTTTTGACGATATTCCCTGATAATTTCACGACTTTTCCAAATGGAAACCTATTTACGTTACTCCCCACTACTTCAAATTAAAGTTATTAGACATTGCGGGTGTAAAAACTAGGGAGCCTTCATGTGCGCTTTGCTAGGGTGATGCCACCCTTTGTAATACCACTCACCGACAAACCAGCAGCCATTTTGGTCCTTGGCGATAATCCGTGGGCTTATAACCCTCCCGGAAACAAGCACCTTATCTCACAAGTTCGGAGCAGCGTTGTGGAACCCACGGAGGGAGGATTAGCATTTCCCCCCTCGGATGGGAGGACCGATGGACACAAAGGCCACTTTTCGGCGCACGGGGAAACAATTAGGAACAAAATGGCGGTGGACGAGGGTGTGAGAAAGGGAAACAGGCAGTTGGCATCACCCTATGCGAAGCGCACATGAAGGCACCTTAGTAAAAACTTGCAACGAATGATATAATATATTTAAAAAAAATAGAAAAGCCTGCCTAGAGGTTTTTTGTTTGGCCTACATTTTCCAATTGTCTGTGCTATACTGAAAAAGTGAGTTGCAGGGTGTCCCCCGTTTTTAAATTTAAGGTAATTTCCACACAAATCACTGGTATCATACCTTCAAAATCGTCGAACAATAGTGAACTCCGCAGCCTGATCACAAGACAGTTGAGGAGTCTGTACGGGACATATGCATGTATGTCCATCAGCTGAGAGGAAGACAACAACTGTACCTCTTCCACTTCCAATTCCACCAACTTGTAGAGCCTGAAGTTTGGGAGGAATGCAGACGCTGCTTTTTTCACAAGAAGTAATGGAGTTGCCTCATGGCCAGACTCTACCACAATATGCAGAAGCTGGCCGAACTGCAGGTTGTACTGGTCCCCACCAAGCACTATGTAAGAACCTGGCTTGTAATGTGTGCCACATAGTGTCACTGACGAAGCAGTCATCAAGGTTCCATGACTAGTGGGCAAGTTTTTCTGAATGAAGCACCACAAGTTTTTGTCGAAACTGGCTATTTCAGATGCAGGAGTCAGGTCACTGAACGCCGCAGCTGGTCCAAACAAGCCTTCCTTTTGCAAGTAAGACTGCAGGAGCTGGTGTTTCTGAGCAAGTGACTTCGTAACATTAATAAAGTTGCCAGATGCTCTAATGCAACGTTTGAAGTAGCTGTGCTTACTTTCGAATCGGAGAGACCATACTTTCACGAGTGGTCCAAACTGTTTAATGAGATAAGGATAATGGAATAAATAATGATGCTTTGGACGAAGTGGAACAGCTGGAAACAACCTTACCCTCTCACAGATGTAATCACTGATCAAGAGTGCCAGATATGACACTTGGTCATCTGAAATGGCAGTTGCCATGACGAGTTCTACAACCTGTTGGAGAGTCAAAAGGAGACGCCACATTTCGTTAGTTGCATCCTGAACTTTGTCTCCCACCATTATTGGTAGAAGTAACAAAAGAGTGTAGTTTTGCAGTGCCTGGCCTCCAAGCTTTTTACCACTTACGTTCATTGGAGCTGGCTTGTTCCTTTGGTCACACGCGTTGTACTTAAATTTGAACTGTATTGTTGCATTAAGATGGTGGTAAGAGAACCATTTCAGTGTTTTCACGAAATATTTTATCATCAGTGCAACGTCGTAGTCAACAACACCTTCAAAAAGATCATGCCCAAGACATGGCGGGAGCCCAGGAAGACAGACATGAAATGTTGAAAGCTTGTTGAATGGAGAGTCGTGTTTGACTCCCATAAAACCCTGTTCTTGGCTGTCCTTAGCACGGTTGACTGCTTCAGTGTATGATGAAACAGTTCGAAGCTCTGCTGGCTTGTTGTTCCTAAAATCTTGCATGGTTGTAACACAGTACCGGCATATGTAAGAGGCCCTGCTGAAATTCTCCACAAAGCCGCCAATGCTATGGCTTCCAAGGTTGTCACCGCATATAAAAGCAAGCTGCACAACGTAACGGTGCCCGTTCACTGTGATGCCATCTTCAAGATCTTGGAGGTCACTGATGAGTCGCTCGAAGAGCTTCCTACAACCAAAGTGTTTAAAGTCTTTATCATGGCAAAGCAAAACAAGCTGTTGAGGGTCAACTACGGTTCTGAGGTAAGCTGGTAGGTTTCCAAGCGTGAAGTATACCGCTAACATTTTAAACTTTCCACGGGCTGATCCAAGGGGATTGGCGACTTCGAAAGCATCTTGGTATAAGATTACCGATACAGTACTGCCATCGGATGATATCCGGCTTTGAAAAACTTTGCCGTCTGTGAATTCCCGATACACACCATCGTTGCCTCCCTGCGCGTTGAAAGAGAGTTTGCACAGTACATCTGGGTTAGAAAGCAGCGAATGAAGTGTCACCTTTATGGGCACATAGCTGTAATGTCGCATTTCGTTGGAATAGTCTAATCCAAGAGAGATTTCGACTGGTTTATTGTGATGAAGTTTGTTAGTGTAGTAAACATTTCTCATGTAGCTTGAGCGAAGAGCTCCATCACTTGAAAATGCAACAGACAAAGGACTCTTCCCAAAGGAGTGGTCAATTGCCTCAGTCATTTGGTCTCTTGACATCTTATCGGTTAGGTGAGCTTTCAAATCAGTCATAAGATGCTCCTGTGAAATGCCATGAAGTCTTTTCACGTCAGCAACTATATCCTGGACGATTGAGGACGGGATCAAATATTTTGACTCAAGCTTCAAAGTAAAAAGGGCCATGCTTTCAAGGAAAGAGTCTTGATCTAAGTGAGTGGGATCCACATCATCAATGACTGAAGGCACTTCACTCTCAACGTCTGGTTTTTCCCTAATGTTCTCCAGACCATTGTCATCCTTGCTACAGCATGACGTCACTATTTCATCCTGCTCTACTGGCTCTGTCACCACTGATTTTTTTTTCCATTCCCATGGTATATGGAAAGATGGGTCTTGAGTGAACCCCATGTCCTAAGCTGGCTATCACACGCATCAATTGGACAAGTTACAACAGTTGGCGGGTTGCCGGTGAGATGTTTTTTGAGGTGCTCGATAAAAGCCTTTCCAGGGCTCACCTCTTCACTGCAGGAAATAACACTGCATGTCCGGCAGGATTGGAAGTTAGTTGCATTACGAGGTGCAAGCGGAGAATGACACCTTGTGATGTGGCTTCGCAATGAGTTGTAATTTTTGAATGCAGCCTCACAGCCGACAACGCTGCATGGAACACCTCTTGATGACGTTTCATGATATAATGTGTGCTTGAAGAACGTGTCCAATGATGTAAACTTTTTCTGGCATCTTTTGCAGTGATGTCTCATCTATAACCAAAAAAGAGTGCTTGGTTTATTTCAAGTTGATTTAATATTGAACATGCTTGTTGGGACCCTGAGAAATACAATATCCTAAGACGACATGAGAGCTGAACAATTTGGCTTTCTTTTTTCGGATTGAAGGTCTACTTTAAGTCCCAAGATCTGCAAAAAAAAAATTTTCTCTCCACGATTTTGTACTTAAACACATGATCTTTGCATTTTTATAAAGGTACCTGAAACATTACCAATATTCGAAGCAATCATGGCGAAGTCCTAATCCAAAGATATTAATCCTTGACCCCAAATTTTTTTATTCCTGCCACAACTGAAGTCAGTGAACATTAAATCAACTGTGCTTGTGAAGATAATGACACACAGCATAAACATACACCTATCTAGAAATGAACACAGTAAGGATTATAAAGCACTTAACGTGAGCTTTCATCAAGTTTCAAAACTAACATTGTGTTTAAACTGAAGTGCAAAACAGCCATCCTCAATGTTCTGTGTTAATCTGAAGGCAATGTTTCTATTTACACCAGAAAGATAGAACACTTGCACCTGCCTGTCTACACCTGCAGCGTGCGTGTCGTCTTGTCGTCCAGTCTTAACATACAAAACTATGTTTCCCTGTTCTTTTAGGTTGCCCGAGCCATGAGGAGCTACAGTCTAGCATGCTAACATTGGGCAGTGATATGGATGGCCGCAGTAATTGTCATGTGAAACGTTCGGCTAGGTTTTCGTTTCTGTGCATCTGGCTTGAGAGGTCAGGTGAACAGAGCTGGGCTGGAATGGTATAGCACCTTGTCATTCATAGCTTGAGCAGTGCAATGAAAGCCAGGACGACGCAGCGCTATTTGATTTAAACTGCTGCCAAGGGCAAGGGAAAGGAACATGGAAAGGAGTAAGTAAACAACGCTGGCAAGGGAAGTTCCTCCTCTCCTTGCCAGCTATCCATCTGCTTCCTCCACTCCCACCTTCCTTTCCCTAGCATTTCGCGCTTGACTCACTGGTTTTTTTTTCTTGCTCTTTTCCATTTTTTGTTTGCGTTGCAGTCTATCGCGAAAATGTTTCACGCTAACGCCCCGCAATTGCACAGTAATGTGACACATTTTTTTTACCACCTTTTGGGGCAGAAAATTGGTTTTCTAGATATGTGGGCCGGCTTGCATGAAGCAGAGTCTCGGTTGAGACTGCTCGAAGAAAGCACTGTCAAGGCTAGTGCTAGAGCTTAAACCGAGTCCTAGACGCTCGCGCGCCCGAGCCTTCGCAGCGCTTTCTTTGAGCAGTCTGAACCGAGACGCTGTCTCTTGCAAGCCGGCCCAGGCATCTAGTTTGTTCTCCTTTCTACCTCAAATACTACAATAAGGCAGATGACTTAACTCCAACTATAAGGCAACATATCTCTTTTCTTTTTTTTTTTTCCACTGCTGGCAGCCACTTATTACGGTGCAGTTACCAAATTATTTCTTGCCCAATTTCATTATCTTTTTTTCTAAACACACGACGCGCTTCGTGCACCCTCCTGTGCTGAGACCGTTTCTTCTCTGAACAGAGCTGCGCCGCGGCAAAATGTTAAGGCTGAAACACATTTACAAGAAAAGAAACCGAATATAGAATGGAAATCGGAGGGTGCAAAAATTGTTGCAAGCAAATTTGGAAGACAAGTTACACGAGAAGACTGATCCCACGCAAAAGGCAACGTCCTCCGCAGTAAAATTAATGCAAACAACACCAAACGTGCACTCTTGATATATATATATATATATATATATGACGCCGTGATTAGGACTTGACAGAATCATCGGATAAAAAGAGACTGGCTGTATCAGCTTTGGTTTTCGAAGCAACTGAGGCCTTCACGCACCGGTACAAAGACTGCTATTACAACAGATAAAGTAAACAGAAGCAACGTGCGGAAACCAGTGTACGTATGCCACCGGTCACGACATCCTTCTACAGCCACACGCTTGCCTCGTTCTTATTCACGAAGTTCCTGTTAGATTAATTCGTTCTTACATGCATGGAGTCAGCCACAATCGGTGCTCGATGTTTAGTTGAGATTGAGATGTGCACCGACACGAGCATCGGCCGACGTACAGTCGGGAGCAAAAGTTTGCGGGGCACGGGAGCGCCTGCCGAAAAGACTGGCTGCGCCTTCTCACGGCACGTTGCTGCTCCAAGACTCACGCTATGCGCACGCGCTTCCTTTCTTGTTCGCGGTCATGCTTTTTTCGCTCGCTTCCGTTCGACACACACGATATATAACTGGGACTGGCGCAAGGTGCCGCGAAATGTTATCTGTAGCATGCGCGAGTTTCGTCACCCATCACGGTGGCTGAGGCAGACGCGCGGCGTGATGGCTGTCATAGCGGCACCTTGCGCCGGTCCCCGGTTATCTCGTGCACGTCGGGCGGAAGCGAGCGAAAAAGTCATGGCTTCGAGCACGAAAGGAAGCACATTCTCGAAGCGTGAATCTTGAGAGCGGCCGCGCGCCGCAGAAGGCGCAACCAGTCATTTCGGCTGACGCTCCCGCGCCCCGCAAACTTTTACCGCCGACTGTACACGAGCAAACTCACCGCGATCTTGCGTTGCCCGAATGCCACAACACAGCGAAGAGCCCACATAATTCTCAGTCTCCGCAATGCTCCGTTCACCACATACACGTAACAAGACAAAGATCAGCGAAAATCAGTCTTCGTACAAAGCTGATCAAAAACCGCGGAAACACTCAACCAGCCTCGGCGGCTGCCGCGGCTGCGCTGGCTGCGCCATAGCGTAGAAAACCCGGAGAGGGACGGAACGGACGGAACTCCCGAAGTAACGTTGCGACATCGCTCCGTCCCCCTCCGGGTTTCCCCCGCCGAAAGAAAAGAAAAAAAAAGAAGAAGAAGAAGAAGAAGAAGAAGAAGAAGAAGAAGAAGTAAAAAAAAAAAAAAAGAAGGCAATAGGAGTTGCTGTCCGATTTTCGTTTGCGATTTCTTCATACAATTTGGCCGCTTTTCGCAAATGTGTTTCAGTCATGACTCATTACGTAAAGTCCGGCGCCGTCGCTACACAGTAGCGCACCAAAGAATGGAGAAAACTAAACTCAACAAACTCAACAAAAAAAAAAAAAAAAAGACCGCGGACTTAAAGACGTACTGCAAAGGATTTGAGTACTGGCAGTGTTAGACACGAAGGTCGAATCGATCAATTTAAAGTTTCCTAAATCCACACAAGTCTACCGTAACAATATGAGAGTGCACGGAAGCTAAATGTCGGCTCGGCACAAACGAACAAAAAAAAAAAAGGAATTTTGGCACTAGTTTTTTACACTTCGGTCAAACGTATATAGTATATTATTGTGGGCACTTGAAACCTCATTGCACTGTGTCGCTTTGCATGTTTCGAAACAAATTGCACCTGAACAGCACGTTATGTCGAACAAGCAGCTACCGAAAAAGCGGCGTGCATGGTCCTCGAACCGGACCAGGGACCTCTGCCTTTCCAGCGGAGCGCTAAACCAAGAGCGTTTCACGTAGCCGAATAATATTTAACTAAGAAGGGAGCAAGAAAAACGTAGAACACCGACACACTACGTCTCGTGATAATGCTAGAGTAACACTCGAAAGCAACAAGGCAAAGACCCCGTTACCCTAAACGCTACGCACCTCCAGTGCGAGGCGCACATCGTCTGCACACGCTTGTGGCGAGCAATGCATAATAGTGAATCCAGACAACAGCGCGACTCATCTAAGAAAACAGTGGTGCGACAGGTATTCATCAAACAGTTCAAGGAAGGGGATGTAATGCACTTACCGTGAAATCTCGAGGTTTGAGTGCGGCGAACCAAAACACGTCCACAAAGTCGCCGAATTGCGCGGCACGCTCACTGCGCATGCGCCAGGGGTGCCTTCACGCGGACAGCGTCCCACGGGAGCGCGGGAAAGAAGTTCACGTGATCTTCCGCCTCTCCGAATGAAAGGGCTGCATTGACTGCGCCTGCGCAGCGCGCCGGCTATGTCTGTTCGTTCGGGTGCGGTGGAGGGGTTTAAGGCAAAACGGCCACGACGGCTCGCGAGCGGCTCTGGTCCCGTTGGCGCTCCCTGTAATTTTACGGTTTTTTTTAACAGTGTAGAAATACAAGTCGCCAGATTGATTAGGTATGATATTGTCTGGCTTATGTGTTACCCAGAGCGAGCG